CAAGCTTTCTTCACAGTAAAATTTTCAGGTTCTCGTGTGCTGTTTGGGGGTGGCTTGGCGATGCTAAGTGGTACAGAGGCACTTATTGTGATGATAGCATCCAAGGATCGTTTGCGAAGACTGGGGCAGACGGTATGGTTTCTCCAAGCTGCCCGGCACAAGCCGCTGCCGTGCTGCCGCCTTTTCAGCGCCTTGACCGGCCCGAGGAGAATAAAGCTTGAGCCCATCGTCGTGAACACTTTGCGCCAGGCGTCTCAGGTTGGAGCTTAGATTTCATGGTGGGCTTGTCCATTGAATTTGAACTAAGACCTTGCGGCCTCCAATGTCATTGGCTGCAGCATTGATGTTGCCGAGATCTGAGAATTGCGTTAGTCCAGAACTCCAGAACACCCAACAGTGTGGACTCAGAGTCGAAGATCTTTGAGGCGTGGCTGACCGCCGTTGTCGGTAGGCGTGGTCTCATGTCCAAGCACTTGCACCGGAGTGTTCGTGCTACCCTGAATCTGCGAGTCTTCTGCGGCTTTTCCCGGACCAGCATCGTTTCCAGTTGATTCTCAAGTGCGCATGCTGATAGCTCAGTTGGTTTTGGACGTGGACAGATGGATGTGTGCCAGTGTTGTTTACTACTGCCAAAGAGGTCGCGATGGACCAGGACAGAATGAGATGGTGGGCTTTCTGTCAGAGCCACCGGCCCAGCATCCAGTGGCTGGAAGATTGGCACCAATCTCCTTGTCCGCGCTTAGGCAGCGGGTCTTTCCGATTGATGTTGGCGACTCCCGTCACGTCTCGTTCCCAAACGGCTTCTTGCCAAGCAGGGCTACAAGAGCGACGCTACCAAGGCGACCTTGATGGACGTGTACTGCGCCATCGAGAGTGTGTCCGGCTTAGCTACCGATGCGACTGTTCCACTCGGCGCAAGCACCTTCCCACTCAGCCCTATGCTAAAGCCTAAACTCTAAAGAAAACCTCAAACCCTAAACTCTAAAAACAACCCTAAACCCTAAACTCTAAAGAAGCCCTGAAACCCTAAACTCTAAAAGCAACCAAAAACCCTAAACTCCAAAGAAAACCTGAAACCCTAAACTCTAAAAACAACCCTAAACCCTAAACTCCAAAGAAAGCCTAAAACCCCTAAACTCTAAAACCAACCCTAAACCCTAAACTCTAAAGAAAGCCTAAAACCCTAAACTCTAAACGCAACCCTAAACCCTACACTCTAAGGAAAGCCTAAAACCCTAAACTCTAAACGCAACCCTAAACCCTACACTCCAAAGAAAGCCTAAAACCCTAAACTCTAAACGCAACCCTAAACTCTAAACTCTAAAGAAAGCCGGAAACCCTAAACTCTGAAAACAACCCTAAACCCTAAACTCCAAAGAAAACCTAAAACCCTAAACTCTAAACGCAACCCTAAACCCTACACTCCAAAGAAAGCCTAAAACCCTAAACTCTAAACGCAACCCTAAACCCTACACTCTAAAGAAAGCCTAAAACCCTAAACTCTAAACGCAACCCTAAACCCTACACTCTAAAGAACGCCTAAAACCCTAAACTCTAAACGCAACCCTAAACCCTACACCGGCTCTGCCTTCGGTTGCTGCCTCTGTGAGCGCTCTCGGAGGTGCGTCGCTCTCGGACCTGGCGAGCTCCGGTTCCTTTCGAGGTGCCTCCTGGCGGCCGAACCGGCCTTGCATGTGCTATGTCTGTATAGTTTAGGGTCTTAGGGTTTAGGTTTTAGGGTCTAGGGTTTAGGGTTTAGGGTTTATAGTGTATCTAACTGTATGTGCTTTGCTCTATCTCTGTGCCTCTCTATCTCTCTACCTCTCTATCTACCTATCTATCCACCTACCATCTGTCTGTCTATCTGTCTGTCTGCATACATGTCAGTTTTATACAAATGTTTTTGTTCTATTTTTAATCCAATTATGAAAAAAATATTTGGCGTTGGATGAAACTGTACTGAATTATTTTTCTGCGTTCAGTTATTCCACATGAAAAATGTTCATATAAGCTGAAGTGAGATCATATGAACTTACGTTGAATTTCGTTCAGTTTCTGTGTATGAGACCATATTATACTCGAATGTAAGATATTTTTACAATGGCACTAGACTATAATATATAGAATAATATATAGACCATACTATACAATGTGTTACATTACATGCATCACATTGTATGAAACCATATTACATCCCAGTATGCCATAGTATATTTTCAGGTTTTATTTAATTTCACCGTATATCTTATCACAGTGCCACATGCTTTATACTGCATCAAGCTAATCACATTATGTTATGTTAGATCATGTGCTATTGTGCTATATTAGCTATATTATAGTACAAGCAACCAGACAACTGAATAAGCAGGGAACAGGTGTTTCTTTTTGCTGTTGCTTCTTTTTTGTTGTTGTGCAAGCCCCGTTGAACCAGCAAGTGAGTGAACTGCCGGTGGAGGCCCAAACGGCAAGCAAAAAAAGCACCCCCCCACCCGCAGCAACAGCAAAAAACAACACCCCCTCCGCAGCAACAGCAAAAAAAACACCC